CAATAAAGAGTCCTTCACCCTGTGATGGCCCCTTCAAATAGTCACATTAAAGTCCCATTCGCACGTTAAACATGCGCATAAAAACATCAAACTATAAAAATCTTATAAATCATTAAACATAAAGTATATTATTATTTTTAAAATAAGCATCAGTCCATACATATCAAATATGTTTTGTACTTTTTGTATTCTTAAATTTTTAAACCCTTAAATTTGCGCCAGTCACTCCTCTCCTTTTAACCTGTACAATCTCATTACTACATGACCGCTATTATTGTGGAAAATAAACTCGTTTCCGCCGCTTCGGTAATCGGGACTCGCATGAGGTGGGGTCCGTTTCACAAAGCAGGTTCAATTGCATGAGCGTTCCGCCCCAAGAGCAGATGCTCAACAGGGATCTGGGTTCGATTCCTACCTCTGGCCCTACACTCGGCAATCCTTATACCTTTCCCCAGTCTTTAACATTTTGAAACAGTAGTCAATACTACATGTACCTCTCTCGGCACATTTATGCTGTGAAAGGACTTCCTATTTATACAATCGGCTTCATTATGTGAGGGGAGCCGTGACGGGGATGTATGTGCCATATGCCAGCCAATCACAATGGGAAATTCCTAAAATAAATGAAAATTACTAATTGTGGGACACAACCTTATATCCACCACCACGGACATTTACACCACCCAAATGCAAGAAAAGGGCCTCCTGCATCTTGAAGAACCCCAACTCACCACTGCACACATTCTGTTTGGTCCCTCTCCTCTTCAGGCAGGAGGCTGCAGAGCATTTAGAGCAGGACCACCAGACTGAGGAACCAGCTTCTTCCCAGAAGCTGTGAGACTGTTGAACTCTGGAGGACCCCTGTAGCCCCTGCATCCCCCCCCCCCCCCCCCACCTCCACATCCTTCATTTAATATGGTGCTATACTGTTGTGGACTCCTATATTTATCTATTTTTTATATTATATTCTGATATTGGGCTGCTCCGGGACCAGGGGAAACTAATTTCGTTTTATCCCATGTTAACATGTGTTGAAATGACACATAAAACTCATTGAATCCTTGAATTATTATTTCTTAACGTTTTTTTTTTAAATGTATAAATAATAAAATATGCTGGTCCACTCTTCACCTGTAAATCAAACAAACTCAATCAGCAAATACACATAATCAACATTTTATAATTATGTACTACACTACACAAGCTATAATAAACATTACTGAACTGTTTAAATAAACACGACATGATTGTAAAGTTTACCACAAATCCTTTATTTTATTGATACACAAACAAAATATCAAAAAATAACTCTTAGCCTGAAGCTAGTACCACTTGTATAAAAGTACTTTAATAGAACACACTTTTCAATAATTAGGCCAGAACAAGTAAACACTACAAAACACAAGAAACCTAAAGGTCTTCAACGAACATCAGCTCTAGTCCCTCTGTCTCCTTACACAACACCTCAGATTCACTGACCACAAGGTTGTCATCCTCCGGCTGCTGTCCTTCTGGATTTTCAACAGACCGCGACTCCTCTGCCTGGCTGCTAGTGCTAGGTCCACCATTCCCCTCAACCAGGACAAGAGAGACAACCACTTCACTCTGGTTTACTTGGACCTTAATTTCTTCTGTAGTCATCAGTCGTTCCTCTATCACCCCTACATCTCTGACATGTCCTCCAAGGTACTCTGACACCAGCTTGCACACAACACAGTTAGTCAACCGGAGTGTATGCTCCTCACCATCACACAGTACAAGTAGTGTGCCACTGTAACACACAGAGTAGAACTGAGGCTTCAATAGCATCTTACACCCATCGCAGCGGTGTGACACACAATGCTCACGAAAATCCACCTGACTACGGTGACATCTCACGCACCGATGTTTCCCAAGAATGGACACCCCACCGACATTCCCACGAAGCGTCGACAGCTCCGTGGACTCATGACAAGGCTGCAAAAACTCTGGTTGCCCAACATCACCAATCTCACATATGGTGGTGGGAGAGGGGTACTGCTCAAAACCGGTGCAGTCATTCAATTTCCTCGTCACCAAATGTGTCAACTCGTAACACTTTGACAACTCCACCTTCATAATATTTTCCTCCCACAATGTCAATTTACACTCTCCACTCTGATCACAAATCCTAAACTCCATCAATTCACGCTCCACCCCCCGTCCACCATCACCATTTTTGATTTCAACCCCGCCAGGCAAGATTTTTGGCACGAACAGCTGCAACCTTTAAGAAAACACAAAAGAGGACAACATTTATACAGAAAAATCTCCACAGAAACTATGTTGGATCTTTTAACTAATCAACACCATGCCAGAACAATTGTAAACCCAAAGTTATTACAAAACATAGTATCAACTTACTTGCTGTTTTGCACCAAGAGCCAAGATGTTAGTAATGCTCATGACGCCTGCTTCGGAGGGTGGTCTCCAAAAGAACGGGACGTTCAGCACAACATCCAAATTACAATCTCCTGAGCACAATACATCAAACCCTGCAGGGTTGTTGTAACCTAGATAAAAACATAAATATCAGCTTTATTTTTTATGTTTTAATTCACAACATACACATACTCACTTTAAAGCAAAGTCACACCACAGTCTACTTACTGAGGCTTCTTCTGACTTTAGTTAACTTCACTGGACTCTTTGCAAGGGCAGCTTGATGGAACATTGTACGCTTTTCTGGTGCAAATACAACAACCCTGTTGTACTGTTCTCTGCCACTCTGAAGGGTACCATCAAAATATCTTGTATTTTTTTTGGATGTCTTCACAGGTGACAACTTGTGGAGATACCCCACCATGCTGTCATGTTCACTCTTCTGTTTTTTGGCAGGACTTGCCATTTTCCGTTTTGTCTTCCTATCCAACCTGCAAAGCACAACACAATTTCACAATATTACTAAACCAAGCTGCCCCGGTATTTCTCACTTTGTTTCTGTATCCCCACACAGACCCAAACACTTCACCCAAAACATAAACCTCTTAAAGAATATATATAATTTCAAAGTCGTCTAATCACACAATGCTACCATACACATAATCACTGCACATTTACAACAAACAATACACTAATCACACATAATGCATCTTTCATATTTACTTGGAAAGATTTCAGATTTTAGACAAAAAAGTCTAAAAGATTTTAAATGCAAATACAGGGCTGATAGTGTAAGAACTAGCCTGAACTTTATTGGGTGATGGGGTGTATGCGGCAACAATAAAATGTATACATTATTATACCTATACACATTATCTGAAAGGCTAATACTATCTATTAACTAAATTGTCACTCAGGCCATCTGCCATATTACCACATTGCTCTTTGCATACTCGACTACAGATTACACTTCAGCAATACAAAGACAGGCCAGTAGGTGGCAATAGTACTCCAAAGTAAAAAACTATTTTATATTATATTTTTATAAAATAATCTAAAACTCTAATTCCTTTTACTACATCAACATTTTAGTGCAACATATTGACTCACCTTTACAAACAACAGTGGTGTCAGAATCTTAAAAAAAGAGAAGTAATTAGTACAAAGCTCAGCACAAACCAAAAAAAACAGATCTAACATGCAACACAAATATCTAAAAAAAACCACATACATTGAAATAATTTCACGAAATCTTGTGATTGTGTTATCATACTACACAATCTTATAAAACGTCATTGTTGTATTAGAAACGCTGGAAGTTGCTGGAAGCATTAACCCTCTGAGGACCAAGACATTTTCAGCTTGTTTTTACTACTTCTTTAAATTTACCGTAACACCGGTAACCGTTACATACTCTGAGAAAAAAAATCGCTTGGTTTTATACTTAATGTTCAGAAGGTTACAAAACCCATACACTGCACCATCCACCATGCATGCGCAGGATGTGGCGTTGTGCATGCAGCCCCTAAACCAATGACATTGTGTGCCTTAATTGGCAAAGCAGTTTTCAGGCTCCCCTTTCAATAAAGAATTACCACACGTGCGCGCGAACATTTCCATCTCTAGAATAAAACATTCAAAATGTCAAATTACTTCAACCAGAAAATGCTTCAACTGGTAGTCAACATACCACAGTTGCTCACCATTTAATTATGAACGTGTAGTACCGCATGCTTTGCAATAACACTACGGAACAACGCAAACAAAATTGTCGAGCAACATAGTTGCTAGCTTCGGACATATTACCCTTGACTAGCCTACATAATTAACACATTTCCAAACCGTTTAACCGACATTGCGTCATGCACGATAAAACTCTGCCTCGTTATTTTTTATAATCATAGTATTGCTGTCTTTCTCATGAACATAATCATTGAGAACACACGATAAAATAAAACAATGTCATAAACACTCACGCTACACACCTTACCTGTGCTGAAGCTCGGCCGTAATGAAAGTCAGCTCCAGAAGTTTCGTCAGGGTCACGCTATCGGGACGGCAACCTCTTCACAATAAAAGTCTTCACCCTGTGATGCCCCTTCAAAATAGTCACATTAAAGTCCATTCGCACGTAAACATGCGCATAATAACATCAAACTATAAAAATCTTATAAATCATTATACAAAAAGTATATTAGTATTTTAAATTAGCATCAATCCTACTCATACATATCAAATATGTTTTATATTTTTTGTAATTGTTTAATTTTTAACCCTTAAATTGCCATGATTTTGTCATAATGCACCTTCATTATATGGTATAATAAACGGCGGCGTAAACACAGACATATATGCAAATTAAAACGATAAATTGCGCCAGTCACTCCTCTCCTTCTAACCTGTAAAATCTCATTACAACGTGACCGCTATTATTGTTGACAATAAGCTCGTTTCCGCCGCTAAAATAGCTTCGGTAATCGAAACTCACATGAGGTGAGGTCCGTTTCACAAAGCAGGTTCAACAAACTGTCAGTTGATCTACTCTGAGTTTCCTGTTGCAGAAAACCGGATCTGAGTTTTAGTTATTTTGTGAACTCGACTAGCTCGGTCGGTAAAGCGTCTGCCCCATGTGCAGAGGCTCAGCAGGTTTTTGGGTTCGATTCCCACCTCCGGCCCTACAAATGACAATCTTCAGTCTTTAACATTTTGAAACAGTAGTCAATCTACATGTACATGCACATTTATGCTGTGAATGGACTTCCCTTTCACATAATCGGCTTCATTATGTGAGGGAGCCGTGACGGGGATGTATGTGGCATATGCAGCCAATCACAATGGGAAATCCTAAAAGAAATGAAAATTACTAATGTATGTAAATGATGACGTGAAACGGTACCTCTCAAAAAGATAATTGTTTGGAAATGCTGAAACATCTATGTCTGATAACGTCTAATGTCTAACGTCTGATAACCATCTCCCGACGAATATTTAATTCTCTGCGCAGTACTGCTGCACCTTCACCCACGGGATCGTTGTCAAAAGGACATGCCATGTTCGTGGAAAAAGTCGCCTCCTACTGTGCCTGATGGACTTCTGATATAACCTACTGACTCTGATTTTTTAATGATTTTTGACAGACGGCAGAACAAGGCTACACCAAAACTGCCCAGCTGACTGAATGAATGAAAGAGGAAATCAAGTGGCTTGTGTGGCTGAAAGAGGGCGGAGACAGAGAGAAACTCGAGGTTCATTGAGGAAAAACCTGGTCCTGACCAGGTTAGGTTCATAAAGTGTGTTACTACGGTAACTGACCGAGAGCTCAAGTTTCCTCTCTCTATGCCTGCGGTCAAGCCAGCCGTGGTTCGCGTTGCTTGGTCAAATCAGCCGCACATTTTTTTCAATTGCGCGAATCTACTAACATTTACGGTATTCGTGATGAAACCGCTCTAAATAGCTGCTGGTGGGGCAGACTGCAGTCGCATTTACATAGGAAAATGTATCATAAATAATTATGGAGTTATATTTGCCAAATTTCTATTATGTCATTTACTGTTCAATGAGTGATGCTGACTGTGAGTTATGAGGATATAAAACTGTATTTGTGTCAATTGAATTATGCAGCTAAATAAAAACATTATGAACAACTTACAGCCCCATAATTAATGACCATTTTTAATTAAATGAAAATACAAAGTTTTATTTCCTGCATCAACATTTCACATGCACAAAGAGTAAACTGCCCTCCTTGTATAACAGCTCTCAAATTTGAAGGTATTTAGCCTATTAGCCTAGCTTGTGCTTATGGACATATTTTGTTGGACCTATACTGCCATCTACTGGAATATCGTAGTAACCATCACAGTGACCTTGACCGCTGATTATGACAACACTGGCTGAGCACATAACTTTCACTAGATTCCAAAAATTACACAAAAAGTATGCTCATTCTATGCGTTTAGCTGCAGCTCTGAAGACCACCACTATTTTATGAAACAATTGGAAAAAAATATATAAACAGGACATCAAACACAACGTTAGCTTATCAGGCCTACAAAACCATTTTCTGTAAAAGTTGCAGCAGTTATGTTACATAACGTATGACTACATCACAGAGACACCTAGGTTTATTTAAACAAAAAAAATGACATATAAACTTGTTTATTTACAACTTAAATAGTACAAAAACAAACAAGAGCAAAATACGAATAAGCCTAAATGATAGGGCAGCAGTTCCCACACTTATTTTTTATCACGTACCATCTTCTGCATCCTGACAAGGTTCACAAAACCCCATACAGGAAGTAGACCAATAACTCTGCAATGGATTGACAATAAACACGAAACTTGGTGTATGGACTGATAACATCTTCCAGAGACGGCATGATAAATGTGTTGACCCTTGACCTTTTGGCAGACATTGCACTTACAGGAAGTGAGGTTGCTTCTTAACACTTTCAAATATCCAAACTGAATTCTGCATATGTAGTCACAACCTTGTGCTGATGTTGCACAATGAATTTGATGATTATTTATCCTCAGGCATGGTCGTCAAAGCACAACAACTTTACCAGAAAAGGAATAGGTCAACATCTCTGCAATGCATTGACAAATCGACACAAAACGTGATGTATGAACTCATAACACCTGCCTGAGAAGGCATGATGAATTTCGTTACCTTTGATCTTTTGACAGATACACTAAGTGAGATTGTTTAGGAATTAGCAATCTCATTGCTTCATCACTTAATACCCGATGCCCCAAAACTTCTTCAATGTGTTTACAGCCAAGTGCCTGACAATTCTACCTTATTGCCAAGGTTATGCAGGCTTTCCGTAATAGCCAATCCAAATCGGCCAATATCTCTGCGATGCATTGATGTATCGACACGAAACTTGGTATATGGACTCATGACACCTTCCTGAGCTGGCATTAGCTTGCCCGCTTTGCTGCTATTCTGCTAGGCCCCCACATCGCTGCATGCAGCTATATTTATTATTATTATTTATTATATTATTATTATTATTATTATTATTATCCTGCCATGGGAATCTATGGCAGCCCATTGAACCCCATGGTTAAGAGTTGTGAAATTTGGCACACTGATTCAGGACAGTCCCATCAACCCTCACAGCAAATTTGAGGTCGCTAGCCCATGAGCTCTAGCGCCACCAACAGGTCAAAGTTGGACATGCATTCATGTTTATAACTTTTGACCCATTCATCCAATATTCACAAACAAGGTATCATTGGAATCCTTGGGCCAAGCCGAGTTCAAAGCACCCTATGACGTCATAATGCGTCATAATAGATTTTCCGCCATCTTTGATTTTGTCGAAAGTGAAAAAAAAGATTCAGCGGTCACAATTTTTGACTAATTCTCATGAAAATCAACACAGACTATCTTCAGACCAATCCGCACAAAAGTTATCACATGGATTTTTCTATTTCGCTTCCGTTTGCCCGCAGCAGCCAATCAAACTCAGCGGCGACACCACCAAACAGGAAGTGAGGCCATATCTCGGCAACCGTTTGATGTTTTGACTTCAAACTTCTAACACAGACTCATGACCCCTTCTTTGAGAGGCCCAATCATTTTGGTGACCTTTGACCTTTGGGGGGCGCTATAAATAGCAAAAATGCATTTTTGCTCATATCTTCATATTGCTTTGGACTTTGTCCTTAATTCCAGTGTTGACTGATACTCTCAGACATCCCAGTACATTTGCTAAAGGCCTGTGTGCGTTTGCATAAAAATCTGGCGACCATTTTGATTTTTGTTAAAAATATGCGTATAAGTACAGAGGGCACATACTTTGACTGATTTACACGAAATTTGGTGGATATGGTTTTCAGACCATGCCTGGTTGATGGTTCAAGTTTCATGTCTGAACTTCAAACTGTTTTGCCGTAACAGCCAATCAAACTCAGCGGCGAAGTTGCCAAACAGGAAGTGGCCCAATATCTCTGCGATGCATTGATGTATCGACACGAAACTTGGTATATGGACTCATGACACCTTCCTGAGCTGGCATTAGCTTGCCTGCTTTGCTGCTATTCTGCTAGGCCCCCCCATCGCTGCATGCAGCTATATTTATTATTATTCCTCTTTCTTCTGCTAAATTTGGCAATGGGAAGTCTATGGCAGCCCATAGAACCGTATGGTAAAAAGTTGTGAAATTTGGCACATTGATTAAGGACAGTTGCATGTTTAATTTCACCAAGTTACATGTCCGCACTAAACACGCTCTAGCGCCACCAACTGGTCAAAGTTTCAGGTACATTTGTGCACATAACTTTTGACCCGATGGCTTGATTTTCAAAAACAAGGTACCATTGGATTCCTTGGATCAAGCCGAATACAACGCACCCTATGACGTCATAATGCGTCATAATAGATTTTCCGCCATCTTTGATTTTGTCGAAAGTGAAAAAAAAGTTTCAGAGGTCGCAATTTTTGACGGATTCTCATGAAAATCAACACAGACTATCTTCAGACCAATCCGCACAAAAGTTACTTAGTGGCGTTTTCAGCTTTGACTTCGTTTGCCCGCTACAGCCAATCAAATTTGGCGGCGACGGCGCCGATTTCGATGTGAGCTCATATCTCGGGAACGCTTTGACGTATCGAAATAAAATTTGATGGCATGCTTCGAGGCTCTGTCCCAAGTGCAGGAAAAAAATCTGGTGTCATTTGGTCCCTAGGGGGCGCTGTAATTAGCAAAACATTGTTTTTGCTCATAACTCTTGATGTGTTTTTACTGGAAATGAAAATGTGATATCTGCAGATACTGTGGGTTGCCCCATTGATAGTTTATGCCAACTTTTCACGTTAACCAATCGCCATTGGCGGCAACGCCGCCAAACAGGAAGTTTGCTCTTATCTCGGCGACGCTTTGACTTCCGAAGACCAAACTTGGTCACGTGCATCGAGACTCCCGTCCGAAGTGGGCAAAACAAATTTGGTGTCATTTCTCCACTAGGGGGCGCTGTAATTAACAAAATTGCATTTTTACTCATTTCTCTTACATACTATGTAAAAATCACACGGCTAGAATAAGCCAGGAATTAGCTCAGTCTGTAGAGACTTGGCTTGGGAACTGGAGGGTCGCCGGTTCTAGTCCAGCACAGACCACAGTATGGAACGTGCACTGGGTGCTTGTGCAAATTAAACGAAAGAATATAGAAGGCACACCAACATTTGCATTTACATAATAATGTAATCTGGTATCATTTGGTCCCTAGGGGGCGCTGTAACTAGCAAAACATTGTTTTTGCTCATAACTCTTGATGTGTTTTTATTGGAAAAGAAATTGTGATATCTGCAGATACTGTGGGTTGCCGCATTGATAGTTTATGCCAACTTTTCACGTTAGCCAATCGCCATTGGCGGCAACGCCGCCAAACAGGAAGTTTGCTCGTATCTCGGCGACGCTTTGACTTCCGAAGACCAAACTTGGTCACATGCATCGAGACTCCGTCCGAAGTGGGCAAAACAAATTTGGTGTCATTTGTCCACTAGGGGGCGCTGTAATTAACAAAATTGCATTTTTACTAATTTCTCTTACATACTTTGTAAAAATCACACGGCTAGGATACGCCAGGCATTAGCTCAGTCCGTAGAGACTTGGCTTACAGGGAAGTTTGCTCTTATCTCGGCGACACTTTGACTTCCGAA